AAAAAAAAAAATCTTTAAATGACTGCTGTTAAATACTAGGTAGTTGATGTTTAAATGCTAAGTTGTGGGATTCACCTCATAATAGCCATAGTTGAGGGAAGGAAAGCCATTATGTGTGTGTGGGGGGGGTGGTCGACAGGAGGTATAGTGAGTTTTGTTGGGGTGAACTGTGAAGGACTTGGGGAGTGGAGTGTGAAGCCAGGGGATGGGATTCCCAGCTGGAACTTGGAAAATGGGGTGACATGATCACGGGACGTGGGGAGGCCAAGTGGACCATCAAGGCTGTTAACAGCAGGGTGGGGAGCTGTAGTAGGCAGCCTTGAAATCCAAACAGAATTTGGCCTTGAAGCTATAGCTAGAACAGTTATGTGCCAGCAAGTGGCATGCTTAGAAGTGGGATTTAAGGACGGGAGATTTCCCAGCTCTGTGAGTGCTGGGTGATAGTCGAGTGACTGTTGGAATGTCTTCTGGTGTCTAAACGTAAAGGACACTTCTGAGCCTGTTCTATCAGCCTCTTTGCAGATTCAAGATCTGATCTCAGGGAAGAAACTGGTTGTGGTGGAGGTGAAGCAGATGAGGTCACCAGGGTTCTTCTGCCTCTTGCCTACCCCCAGAAAACTCACGTCATTTTCCCTTAATTCATTTTCCCTTCAACAATGAGGCCCTTTGTTACGGCTATATTGAGTAAGGGAAAAAAAAAGTCTTGTCCAGGGTTGCATTACCTAAAGGCTTCGGGACAGGTACAAAGAAAGTAACAGCATAAAACCATAATGGGAAGGGAGCTTCAAAAATAAGCCAGAAGCAGTCACTCTCAGAGAGAGCCCCACAGGATTCTTCTTGTTGACACAGACATGTGGATTTGGTAAAGAAGGGGACCGTTCTTGGTGAGATGGATCAGAGCCAAGATGAGACAGAAATGTCGACTGCTCCAGCCAGAATTCCAGAACTTCACCCTTTGTGGAGCACAGCATGGACAGATCCCTGGCCCTCCGTCAGGAGCCCTAGGACCTGCCCGCGCGCCCCCCGCAGAGGGAGACGCTGTAGAGAGCTCACTCCTTTACACTGGCCTTAGCTTGTTTGCCATTGCTCGTGCCTCTTGCCCCTGTAGACTAAAGCTGTGTCGGTGGCCTCCCGGGAACAAAGATCGGCTTGAAAGAAGCAGGTTACTACTGTAAGTCAGTAAGTCCGGAGGACCCCGTGTGGAAATGCCCCCTGGGGCAACCTCACAGACGCCTAACACACCTTTGAGCATGTGGGGATCCCTGATTGGCTGTACACTGCCCTAAAACCACTACCCTGCCTGGGGCCCTGGACAGGAGCCAGGCCTTGCAGGGGCTCCCCCGGTGGGAGAGGTATCTGGAAGTGTCCGTGGGTTCTCCCAGCCTTGCTCCTGGGTGTGGAGAACACTAACAAAGCCCACAGCCTTCCCCCTCTTATGTTGTCGTGTGTCACGCGTTTCCTTCCAGTTCCTCATGTCAGGTAGCCTTGACCCCATGGGGTAGATGGTGTACCCTGACTTCACGTAAGAAAAGAGCCTCAGTTTTTGCTGCAGGAGTTCCTAGTGAAGATTCTGAACTAGTGTAGGAGGGGAAGGATTATGTACCTGTGGGATTAAGGGCGAGGCCTCGCTTTCATTTTTGCCATATAGCCCAGGAATCTGCGGCCCGCAGACCCAGTGACACACATTCCGGTCATTTTATCTTGCCTGACAGGCGAGGAAGCTACAAAGAGCTTGATTCAGTGGGTGTGTCAGGCTGGGCGAGTTCGCTTGGTTCACTTGGCTTAGTGAAGCAACGATACCAGGCCCGCCTATCTGCAGGGCCCATCTGGTCATCTGCTGGGCTCTTTCTGCAGCTCCCAGGAGTGGGGGGCGGCAGTGGGAACGGGACTCTCTGGGAATGCGTGGGACACCCAAGTGTACAAAAAAAGCCGTCTTAAGTGACTGTTGATATGTGGTTGGACATCCTGTCCCTCAGTCTGCGGGTGTGTGCGAAGTGCTTTCGCGCTTTCATAATAACGAGGCCCGTAGCCAAATGGTGAAAGGCGGCGTATCTCTGGTGCCTTCTCTGCTGATGTGGGGACAGGGGGCGCTTTCAAGGATTGCTCTCCGGATGCTCTGTGGCCTGGAGCCGTTGAACCTGCTCTCGTTTGCCAGGCCATTGGATAAGGTGTGGAAAATCAGTTTGTACCAGGGTTGCTGTTACTGGTTCTTGGGCTGCGCAAGGATAGAAACGAGTCTGTATCCCAAAATCAAAGGCACAGACAAGGCTTAACCAGGGCTACAGCTGGAGTCGAAGGGAGACTCAGCACTAGGAGAGAGAAGTTAGACTGGCTGGAACAGAAGGGAAGTCCTGCAGCCTATAAGGCTCCTCTTCCGCTTCCCACGCTGGTTTAATTTGCTAATGAGGGGGCGGGGGAAAGGACGTCATCTTGATTGGTTGGAAGGGCCTCATCCTGATTGGTTGATATTGGCCGGCCATTCCGCCTGCTCATGGGTGCTTTCGGAGACAGGGTCCGAAGTTCTAAGGCCAGCTTGTATGTGGGGCTGCGTCTTGGTTCTTGTAACCGTGGTCCCTGTCTCATTGTAGTGATGAGAATGGCTTAGTGCAGAGGTTCTTAGCTAGGTTCTGTATCGAAAGCCTATACCTATACACACACACCCTACACATTCCTTTATAGGCATATACACTTATACATATAACCCTTAATTAGGCCTCCGTTTCATTAGCAGATTGCTCTCCGTTCTCACTTAAAATTTTGAGTCACGTGCCTAGATGGTGTCACCCAGAGTTACATGCTTGCGCATGCCATTCCTGAGCCAGATCCATAATGAGAAAACACCACTCTCTCTTTTTGAAATGTGTGGGTCCTCAACTCTCTCATGCTGATTTGGTGGGGGCGGGGCTGAGGGTACAGAAAGGTATTGTCATGTTTGGGGATTTTTGCCTGGGTGCACTCTTCTGCCCTCCAGCTTAGGGCTTCCCAGCTTTGGCTGCACACTAAAAACCATTTGGGGAGCCCTATAAAAATCAGATGCCTGGGCCCAGTCCCCAGAGAACCTAAATAAAATGATCTGGAGGAAGCTTGGATATTAGGATTTTGTTTTTTATTTTTTCATTTTTAAAAGATTTTATTTGTTTATTTGATACAGAGAGAGCGTGAGAGAGCACCAGCAGGGGGAAGGGCAGAGGGAGAGGGAGAAGCAGGCTCTCCGTTGAGCAGGGAGCCCAGCGTGGGGCTCGATCCCAGCGCCCTGGGATCATGACCCAAGCTAAAGGCAGATGCTTAGCTGACTGAGCCACCTGGGCACTCCAGGTATTAGGATTTTAAAAGTTCTGTGGTGACTGTGATGTGCCACCAAAGTTGCATCTTGCTCTTCTCTAATTTCCCACAACATTTCCACATGCTGACATAGAAGCCAGGTCAGGATTTGCTTTAGAACCCAGGCCATCCGTGATTCCTAATTTTAGCCTGAGACTTTTAGATTTTTAGATATAGAAGGTGAAGGCCAGAAGGGAACTAGTTTCTTCCAGGATACTCCTTGTGGGTGGGCCAAAAAGAGACCCTGACAGATACTGTCATAGGCATTGGAGCTGCAGGTTTAGGCTGGTCCCCATATAATGTGTCATTCAGATTTGGTTTATGTTCATCTTTAAGATGACAGTCACTACTACATGATTCAGTTTTAATTTTATAAGATAAATATTTTTTTTCTCTGTAGTCCACACGTGTCTGTGATAGGTGTGAGCAAGCAGGCAAATATTACTTTGTGTTTTGAAGTAAAGACACTGAGGAGGCTGATGAGTCAACCCCCATCTTTGACCTCAGAATAAGTAGGTACTGCTAGCTTTGGCCTTGTGGGAAAGGAGCAGATAAAAAAACCTAGCAAGACATTTCAAATTACTTTGAGATCAGTTTGAAGTTAAAGCTGAGAAACATTTGGGGCACCCGAGTGGCTCAGTCGGTTCAGTGTCTGCCTTCGGCTCAGGTCATGATCCCAAGGTCCTGGGTTGGAGCCCCGTGTTGTTCTTGGGCTGCCTGCTCAGCAGGGAGTCTGCTTCTTCCCCCTTCCCCCCTCCCCCGCTTGTGGTCTCTCTCTCTCTCTCTGTCTCTCTCTCTCTCTCTCTCTCTCAAATAAATAAATAAAATTTTAGAGCTGAGAAACATTTTTGTTTTAATGGAATTATCATTTGGTCAAGGATTTTAACTTAAAACACACACACAACAAAAGCATGATTCTTCCCCTGGAGTAAAGGAAGCAGAGAAGTCCGTGCAGAGAAGGCAGAGAGCCCAGGCCCATGCTGCCCAGCTTTCCGTGTGTGTATTAGTGTTCCTGTAGTGTGATCTCATGTTTAGTGCCTATAGGGTTGACTGCTGTGTCACGTTGAATTGGAACAGGAAGCCCACTCCGGTTTGTGTGTGAAGCAGAGAAATTGGAGCTGAGAGGCCAGCGCTCGGCTGAGAGCCAGAACCCATGACCCCGGCTCACACTGCCGCTTGGGTTCCAGAATCCTTGAGTGGGGCTGCGAGCTCTGTCCTGGGCTGGGACAGGCTCTTGCTCACAAGTGGTCTGGCGACACAGCCAGCCCCTCTTGGTGTCTTTTATGTCTTCGGTGACACAGCTGCTCTTCTCATTTTAGTCTCCTTTTCTGGCCTCCCCACCCCTGTCCTTTCTGTCCCCCACCTTGACCATCCCGAACTTTGCGATTTGTCCAGTTCTGCAGAGGGCGTGATTTCTGTCGGTGCGTGGAACTGGGTCGTGTGAAATCATCATGACTTCACTCAATGTGTCTTGTAGGTTGTTATTTTGACCTCACGGGTCATTTTGGTGGGTGGTTGGACTTGCGATAATTCTGAATGTTAACTTTGGAATTTTCTGAATCAAAAAGACAGCCCCGAGTTGAGTGTGGGAGAATGCCTCGTGGGCTCTCGTGAGTCACACAGGAAGGAGGGAGAGGAGGACTTCATTGGCACTAATAGGCACTTTGCTTCTTCCCCAGGTCCCCCTCCTGTTTGTTACAGCCCCGGTAGTCCCGCCCCGATTCTGGAAGACCCCAACTACTTTTTCCCCGACTTCCAGCTCTATTCTGGGAGGCGTGAACCATCTGCTTTGACAGTGGAGGCAAACGGTAGTAGCATCAGGGAAAAAGTTGGTAAGTCCTTTTACTGGCATTTCGGTTGGAAAAACAGGATGATCATATGTTTCTGATTTTACAGACTGGCCAGTTGTATTATTGATTGTCTTTTTATTGGTGGGTGTCTTATTCTTAATGTTTGTGCTGTGGTGTCAGTAGACTGTTTTATAATAATATGTGACTCTCAACAGACAGAGTTCTTATGTAGGAACTTGAGAGTCATACCATTTATTCCCCAATTTTTCTCTAATTCCTATATACGTTTTTGCAGTATTTTTTTCCAGAACTTTTTCCTCCTCTGCTTTCACTTTTATCTCTTTCTGCAAATAATTGAGAAGTTCAGAAGAAATTCAAAGCCATAGTAGGCAGGGAACTGATTCCTGTGTGAAAACTTCTTGCCTATTTTTGAGGGCAAAATTGATAAATTGGTAAAACTAGAAGGGAATCTTTAAAACCACTGAAGGAGGGATACCTGGGAGGCTCAGTCGGTTGGGCATTTGCACTTGACTCAGGTCATGATCCCAGGCTCCTGGGATCGAACCCCACATCGGGCTCCCTGCTCCATGGTGAGTCTGCTTCTCCCTCTCCCTCTGCTCTTCCCCCGCTTGTGTGCTCTCTCTCTCCTGCTCTCTGTCAAATAAATAAAATCTTAAAACAAAAACAAAAACAAAAAGCACTATAGGGAGGGATCTCCTGGTTCTTGGCAAATGTGCTTATGAAAAGGAAATTCAGTAGTTTTCATGCTTGAGGAGAACCCCCCCTCCCCCAAATCATTATCTTTTGGAAATATATTTGTCTTTTTATGTGCATTTTTACTCAAGTTGTTTACAATGTTTATTTTTATGTGAATTCGCTTGTGCCACAAGCCTTTCATAACAGTTATCCTGAGGGCAGGGACTGTGTTCTCTTTACCTTCTACCTCCAGCACCTCTCTGAAGGCCTGGATGTAACTGGTTGGTGGGGAAGATTTGCACAGTGAGTGTGAGGCCCACTGAAGCCCACACTGATCTCTCTTTCCTTGGGTTCTTCATCGCTTATTATAGTTCTTTGGCAGTTCATCTTACATGGACTTCCAATAACCTGTTTTTCGTGTTTGAAATTTTTTATTGCTGAGTTTTGGGCTTATATCTTAGTTACAGTATACTTTCTTGGAAAGTAGGGAGTAAGTTCGAATTTACTGCACATGCAGTCTTATGGAGTAGATATGAAGTCTGCCCATTTCCCAGAGGAGAGAGGTTCAGAGAAGCCAAGTAACTTGCCTGAGGTCTTGGGGGTGTGATTTGGAGGGTGGGGGGAGGGGAGAGGCAAACCGGTATGATCCGAGTTCTGGTCAGGAGCTTCAGGACCCAGTCTGTAAAGTTCTTGAATTTGCAGGACAATTATTTTCTAAATGCCTTCTCTGTATCAGGGTTGTGTTCTAAGCACTGGAGAGATAGCAGGTGATGAAAGCAGATAAAACTCTGCCATCTGGTCCTTGAATTCTGGTAGAAGAGGATAGATCATAAATGCAGTGTGGATTGGAAGAAGAGGCCAGAGGCAAGAGATGTGAGGAGGCCATTCGAGACCTCTACGGCAAGTGGTAGGGAGAGCAGGCACCTGGGAAGTGGCTGAGGGCATGGAAATTAGGGTTGCAGTCTTTTACTATCGCTAAGACACTAAAAATGTCATCTAGTGTCACCTTTTGTCATATTTTAATACCAAAAAGAGTAAGAGGGATGTGACCTTTCATAGTCCTTGCCTAAAAAAAGATAGAGGCATAAACCTAATGACAAGTGTCTGTGGGTACACACGTGTATATGGGCAATATACATATATTTATATATCTTGTAAGCATATCCTACCACCTTTATTTTTTCTCATCTTACCGGACTAAGAAAAACTAGTTTGGCACTTGATCAAATGTGGAGAGAAAAAGAGACAAAGGGCCAAAAGTACGTCTGAAATTTCTGTCTGGATGGCTTATAGGATAAGGCTGCCACTTACAGAAAACACAAACAAACAAACAAACAAACAAACAAAAAGGCAACCTTGGGGAAGAAAGATGGTTTGGGGGGAGACAAGGTATTCTGTGTATATATAGAAACAGAGCCATCATTGCCTGGAATTGTAGAAGTGAGGCTGCTTGGCGATGATCTAGTTCAGTTCCCTCCCTTTACCCATGAGGAGATTGAGCTCAGAGATAGTAAGTGATTTGCTCAAGGTCACGCCTGTAGTAAATACTAGAATTTTTACTATCCTACTGCTATGTAATTTCCTCAATACTTACTAGTATTGTGAAATGGACAGATTTTATATTTCATGGCACTCATGCAGGAATTCTTAAATGTTTGATCCCCCATTACATGCACACTGGGTTCTGTGTACTAGCGAGACCGGGATGGGTTGGCGGGATCCTTGCCTTTAAGAAGCTGAGAGTCTTGGGTGAATAATCGCTGCTGTCTACTGCAATACCGGTTCTAATGGTGATCTGTATGAAAGGAGAAGGCGCTTAGGAGGAGGGGTCAAGGCTGCTGGGCTGCAGTGGGACAGGTTATACTCCAGAGTAGCTGTGAGCTCTCACTTGAAGCATGTCTAGGAATTTCCCAAGAAGACCTGGTGAGGTGCATCCCTCTCGGCAGAGGGAAGAACGTGAGCGAAAGCCTAGGGGCGGGAGAGAACTTGCGTGTCTGGGAGCTATGTGGTCTTAGGTGCTGCTGGACTCACTCACCGAGGAGTGGCCTGGGAGGGGAGGTAGTGGTGGTGGCCTGAACTGTTGCTGGTTTCCCCGTACCTGCTGCAGCCTAGGGTAGGATGTCAGTTTCATCTTGTAATTCACTGCTGAGGAATTTTCTGCAGAGGAGTGATACAGTTAGGTTTTCCTAGTTGAACAGTCTTTCAGGGTAACGTGGAAGATAGGTTGAGGTCTCCAGGGTGGGTTTGGAGGTGGGACCAAGTGTCAGAAAAATAGATAAGAGGCTGCTGGAATTGTCTGGGTATGAGACACCATGGGCTTTGCAGTGTTGTGGAATAAACACAGCTTTTTTTGTAGAATGAGTCAGATCCCGACTCTGGCTCTTCCTACCTCTGTGACCCCCGTCATTCGCCTTCTCTGAGCCTCTCTCCTCATCTGTGAGATAAGGGAAATTATATCTGTCTCGTATGATCATACGTGCCTCATACGATTACCTGAGGGATAAATGAAATAACATATGGAGAGAATTTAGCACAATACCCAGTGCATCATATGTACTTTTAAAATGGCTCTTACGGTTACATTGTGGTTATCAATAATATATTTGGGGACTGGAGGGGAATGAAAAAGGTTAGGAGAGGTGTTTAAGAGGTAGAGTTGGCAGGCTAATACTGGATGCTAGAGGTAAGGGAGGAGAAGGAACTTTGGAAAATGCCCAGGTTTCTGGCCTGGCAAGGAGTAGATGAGGGAGGGATATGGGGTTTGGTGGGTAAGTGCTGGGGGCGGGGAAGACATGTTGAGTGTGGAGAGCCAACGGGGCCGTCTGCTGGGGACGGTGGATGGCGTCGTGAATCAGTCGTCAAAGACGGGTGGCCGGTGTGATGGCCCGGGAGATTCTGTTGAGTGATGGTGGGAGAGCTTTCAGGGCAGAGCTGTGGGAAATAACCAGAATTTAAGAGGCAGGTGGAGAAGAGGGGGCCAGAGAAGAAGTGCCCAGAGAGGCAGGAGCTGGAACTAGGGCAGGGGTTGGAGGTGGGAGACCTGGATGCTTCAGGAAGCACTTCAGGAAGTAGATGCTCACCATGCCGAGTCTGAAATGCTTCCGGCAGGTGAGGTGCGTCATACAGGAGATGGAGTATTCTCGTTGGGCTTGGTAGCTAATCAGAACTGTAGGGAGAGTGGCAAATGGGGCATTTGGAAAGTGGAGATAGGGAGTGTAGACTGCTTACCGAGGACAATCAGAAGATAACAGGAGTACAGATGCACAGAGGCAGTTAGAGGTACGTGGCTAGGGCCAAGAAAAGGGGATTCCTTTTTGTTTGATCTTGTTTTTTTTTTTTTTTTTTTTTTTTTTTTTTTTTTTTTTTTTTTTTTTTTTTTTTTTTTTTTGCTTCCATTTTTTTTTTTTTAAAGATGGGAAAGATTTCGCATATTTATATGAGGAAGGCAAGGAGCCAGGAGGGAGTTTAAAGGAAAGGGAGGGGGCGAAGGACAGCAAGGTCCAGGAGGAAGCAGGAGATGAGGAATGGAGAGTAGTAGACTCGCTATGAATGGGAACAACACTTCCCTGAGAAACTCAGGGTAAACGGAGGTGGCAGTGTATTTGAAATGTTGTCTTTAAAGACTACTGTAGTGGGCACCTGGGTGGCCTGGGTGCCTTCAGCTCAGGTCATGATCTGAGGGTCCTGGGTTTGAACCCCACATCAGGCTCCCTGCTGAGCCTCTGTCCCTCTGTTCCTCCCCCCATGCACTCTCTCTCTCAAATAAATAAATAATCTGTAAAAATAAATAAAGAGGTAAGTAAATATATAAAATGATAAAATAAAATAAAATAAAAAGAATAAAGGCTACGGTAGCTACCATGTTAATTACTCAACGTGTAGATCCAGACCCGTGTCCCCATGGCACATCCTGACACCCTTTTCCCTCTGTTTGCCTTCTAGTTGAGGAACCCCTGTGTCACTTCCAGCCCCCAAGCCTCCTGCGGACGTCAGAGGTGGAGATGAGAGGTTCCGAGGATGCGGCCGCTGGGACAGTGTTACAGCGGCTGATCCAGGAACAACTGCGGTATGGCACCCCGACCGAGAACATGAACTTGCTGGCCATTCAGCACCAGGCCACAGGGAGCGCAGGACCCGCCCACCCCACGAACAGCTTTTCTTCCACGGAAAACCTCGCTCCAGAAGACCCACCAATGGTCTACCAGGCGGCGCGCCAGGAGCCGCAGGGTCAGGAACACCAGGTGGACAACACGGCGATGGAGAAGCAGGTGCGGCCCCCGCAGCCTCAGCAGAACAACGAGGAGCTGCCCACGTACGAGGAGGCCAAGGCGCAGTCCCAGTTCTTTCGGGGGCAGCAGCCACCGCCGCCACCGCCGCCGCAGGGGACTGTCGGGCACGGTTACTACATGGCCGGGGCTGGCGGTCAGAAGGCCCGGACCGAGGGCAGGCCCACGGTGAGCCGCGCCAGCAGCGGGCAGGCGCACAAGGACGAGGCGCTAAAAGAGCTCAAGCAGGGCCACGTGCGCTCTCTCAGCGAGAGGATCATGCAGCTGTCGTTGGAGAGGAACGGTGCTAAGCAGCACCTCCCTGGCTCTGGCAACGGAAAGGGGTTCAAGGCGGGAGGGGGACCCTCCCCCGCCCAGCCCACAGGGAAAGTGCTGGACCCCCGGGGTCCTCCGCCCGAGTACCCCTTCAAGACCAAGCAGATGGTGTCCCCCGTCAGCAAGAGCCAGGAGCACGGACTCTTCTACAGCGACCAGCACCCAGCGATGCTGCACGAAATGGTCAAGCCGTACCCCGCCCCTCAGCCCGCGAGAACGGAAGTGGCCGTCCTGCGGTACCAGCCGCCCCCAGAGTATGGGGTGACCAGGTGATTCTCTCTCGGGCCCATGGGTTTAACCTGGCTTTTTGAAATTTTGAGATCATGTTCTCCGCGCTTGTTATTTTCAAGGCGGGTTGGGTTTCAGCCATCGGGTTTTTTTTTCCTTGCGCGTGATACTTAATAAGGCACTTCTGGACCAGAATATATAGAGTGAAACAGAACAGAGATCAGTGGAGGATTGTCTCCAAATGTAGCAGAAGGCGATCGGGGATTTATGAGTTGAGGGGAGGAGCATCGGTCGCTGGCCGCCCTTGGGAGCTCTGCCTAGTGGCCAGGCAAAGCGGCAGTTTTCCTGGCTGGCTCTGTGGACAGCGTCCAGACCCCTGGAGCTTATTATTACCATGGGGTTTTATGGAGCCATTCTTCATTGTAGATTTGAAAGGAAAACGTAGTCTGAATGCTAGAACAGTGGAGCTAAAGGGGCCATAGAAATCTTAGAGTTCCACCTCTGTATCGAGCAGATGAGACACTAAAGCCTGGAGAGACGCCCACATTTCCGCAGTCCGCCGCTCTGGGCCGCTGGAACGAGATTCCAGTGGCCTGACCGTCAACAGCTGTTCCCTCCATTGCCCTAATTCTAATCCTTCTTCCTATTGATGGCTGGATTCAGCAACACTTACAAGGTGTCTCCTCTGTGCGGCCTTGTACCCGGTTTGAGATAAAGAAGGGCTCCTGCCCTCAAGGACTTAATCTCGCTGTCCTGGTGGGAACCAGCCCCTGAGCCCATCACTGCTCTGTAGGGGCTGTTTGAAGGCAGTACATGGAGTGCTTAGAACCAGAGAGATTGTATGACTCACAACCGGAGGCAATGGGGAGAGCCCCACAGAAGAGGTGACATCCAAGCTGGATCTCAAAGGACCAATAGGGCTGTGGGGAAAGCATGTGAGGAGATGGGGTAGCGGAACACACTGTGTGGGGGGAATGGGCTGGTTTGGTCTGGAATACACCCAGGTACCACGGGTGGGCTAGGGAGTGGCCAGCAGTGGCAGAGATGTGTTAGAACACGGAGCTGAGACCAGCCGGTCAAGGTCTCTGGGAGTCCTTCTATGGAGTTTGGAATTTAGCCATAAGCAGTTGGGAAAGCCAGTGTTTCCAGGGAGAGACTCTGTGTGTGTTTATTAGGTTGACTTCAGTGGCGGTTGAGGATGGATCAGAGGAACAGGACCAGAGGCCATGAGGACCTCCAGGGACAATTTCAGTAGTCCAGCTAAGAACTGGTGAGCACGGCCTACGTTGGAGGCCGGAGGTACAGGGGAGCGTTATGTGCTGTGAGAGGCAGAGAAGTCACACGGACAGGACTTAATGACTGATGAGACCCAGAAGCTGAGAAATAATAGGCCAGTTGGAAATCAAACTCTCAAGAGAGAAATTGGGTCTGAAGGTACAAATTCAGGAGTTACAGCATTTCAATGCTGCCAGCCTTCTTGGAGAGAGTGTGGAGCAGGAGCAGGGGAGGCAAGTGACCACTGCCTATTCTTGGCTATGTTGTCATTCTCACAAAGGGCTTTATCTGTCTGTTTCCAAATCAGGTGAGTTGAGTTTTCCCTGGGTGACCCCAGCGGCTGTGTGCAGAGTGCATCTTGGCTGTACGTCTTCCGAAAAGGCAGTGAGTGGGCCTTGGCAGAGGGAGAGAGCTGGCTCGCCTGCCCTCTGCTTCCCAGCTGCTGACACATTCCCCCGCGTGTTAGGCTGGGAATGCCAGCTCGGAGGCAGGATAGCACCTCGGAGAACTCTGTCAGGCTGTGGACCTCGTTCTCCCCAAAGGCATCATAGTCTGACTGAGGACCGAAAAGGCAAAAAAAAAGTCCTCAAGATGGGGCCTGCGGGGCTCTTGTTTTTTACCCTTTCGTAGTTCCTCGAGCCACAGGAGACATTTGAACTTTAAAACTGTCAGGTTTGAAGAGGGGCGGGGAAGAAAAGTCTTCATATCTCTGGCATATGTGGCACATTGATTCAAGAGACTTGTTTATAGTCATCAAGGATGTTTATCACAGGATCATAGCAGAGTTTGTGATGTTTCACATTTTTTCCTGAACATTTGACTCCGCCTTTAGAGCTTGCTAGAAGGTGGGGACATCCCCAAAGGAACCCTTCCTCTTCTCTTTGACTTCACAGCAGTGCATAACGTGGGCCATTTTGTTTTTTTGTCATCTGGCCGTAGGTGAGATGGGAGGTGGGAGACCGGGTAAGGGGCGAAGAGAAGCAGCAATAGGAGATCTACCCAGTTACTTGTGGAAAGTGTCATTTGTCTCAAAGTTATGACGTCAAAAAGAAGAAATGCGTGAGGGATTTGAGCTAATTGCCAGGCTTGGTGGCCGGACTGACACAGCACATCAAAATGGCCCCAGAGATGTAACAGATGGGCCACTGAGGCTCGGCCCCAGAGCTGAAAGGCCCCTTTGTGAGCCTAGCCATGGTCGCCAGCATGGCTCCAGCAGCCCAGCCCTGGGCTGACAGAGTCAACAAAGGTACGTGTACACCAGTCCTGCCACAGACACAGCCAGCGTGATCTGAACTCCCAGGGTGGGATCTGAGACTCAGCAGTGCGCGATCTTCAGGTTTCCTTCGACCCAGGAGATTTGAGTTTCGTGGTTATGTTCCTTTGCGTCTTAAGAGTTATCTGTTCGTCATTGATGGCGGTGGTTTTGAAAGCTGCAGGCTGTGGGGTCTGTACATCACAGACTCCTGGCCACCAAGGAAGGGCCACTGAGTGAGGTCATGGAGTCCCATCTCCTGGCCCTTTACTTTGTTCAGACTTCACGGCTGTTTGCCTACCGATGGAAATTTCCAAAAGGCAAGTGAGACAGAGCATAGAGCTTATGACAGAAGAAGGAGGAACTTGGGAGTTCTTGCCTTCGTTACTGACCCACCATAGCTTATACATTTACCCTCCCTGACCTGCTAAAGGTGGAGATGCGTGGTGGTTTGTTGTAAAGCACTTTAGTCTCTTGGTGGGAAACCCCAGGGAGAAGCTATCAGTTACAGCCTCGTTGACTTGCACCAGGTTGGCCCCTGTCGTGGGTGAGATAGTGAGGCTGGCAGAGATGGGGAGACTAAGGCCCTGCTGAGGTGGCTGGTGGGGACCTCCAGGGAACAGGAGCTGGCCGAGGAGGAAGGCTCTGGTTTTATTCCTGCTCCATCATCCTTTTTCTTCAACCTGAAAGTGGTAAGGGATATAAAGGAGGACAAGGTGAGAATCGAACGGTTGTTCTATGTAGAATTATGCTTTAAAAAAAAAAAAGCCAGCATTTGGGTGATAATTCATACTCACTTTGTGGAAAGAGCATTCTAGAAGCAGTGACCTGGCTTACGGGACTGTGAGTGGAAGTGAATGCTGGCAGATGAGCTGATCGCTGTCGGAGCAGTTGGGAGGACGTTAGTCAAGGGCATGTTTGCTTTCCAAAGAAGTCTGCCCATATTTCTGAAAGTGGAAACCGAAAAGGCAAAAAAAAAAAAAATCACTTAAAGTAGCCTACTTTCTTAATACAATGACTGTAACATTTTCCTCTACACATTCATTTTTTCATGTGTTATCCTCCTAGATTATATTCAGTGTAGTATCTTGGCTTGTTTGTGCTGTTGTCTGTACTGTTGTATCACATTCTTTGTATAATAGTATCTTAGCTTGTTTTAACTCAAATTGTATCAATTCTTTCTACAATACCATGCACTTGTTTTCCTCACCATCCTTTTCATTGCTGGGTGATATTTTATAAAGTATATAATTTACATCATCGTTTCTACAAATAATAGAGTGAACACAATCATGCATATCAAGTTGTCTGTGCCCTGACTCCAACACCTGGTCCTATCCCCTAGCCTCTGACCCTAGGAGGGTGGCTTTCTGAGTGCACGATGGGAGGGCCTGAGACAAGACCCCAAAAATTTAAGACTTGGCAGTGTTTCTGAAAATTGGTGTGAAGGTGGAGCTAAAAACAGAAGGACCAACTGAATGTCTATTTCGAGAGTGTGTGGAGTCCCAGGTCCTCTTCTCACTCAGGTTGTGGCTGGCTGCCCTGTCTGTCTTTGCCCCAGTAGAAGTCCGGGGGGTCTGTTCTCTGGAGGGGATCTCTGAACTTTGGTTGACTTCTTTAGAAATCATTATTTAGAGTTGAAATTATTGGGTTAATTGTAACAAACATTTAATGACTCGTGATACCAGATAACTTGGTAAAAATCATTACAGTGTGTGTGTCACTGCCCTTTGACCAACCTTAGTCATTGTCATTACGACACCTTCGCTCACTTAATGGGCAGATAGTGTTAATTCTTTATTTTACTTTGCGATTATTAGCTGGGTTACTTGGGGGGTTAATTTAACGGTTAACTTAACCTTGCAAATTAGCTGTTTGTGTCTTCCATTTGTATGATCTATATATTATAATGGATTCAGAACACACTAAAACCTGTGTTCTCTAACACTGGCCCTGACCTTGCAGTGTCTAGAACTCCATCTGTACCCTTAGCAGGGGGCAGTGGAACAGGACTAAAGCTTCAGTGCCTGCCTGCGCCGGGCACTCTGTGTGGGTGACCTTCCTCTGCTGTCACTGCATTTCTGAGGGGTGGGCACTGTCACTGTCCCTACTGGATGGTAAGGGGGGATCCATGATGTTCACGGTAAGCACTGAGGCCCAGACATAAGCGTAGGAAGATAGTTTTACCAGCTTTCCAGGAGCAGAGAAAAGAGTGGTAACTGTTGATTAATATTTTTTCCATCTATGAATGTATTAATTGGATTTTTAGTATGTAAATGGATACCTTATAAAGGCACGAATGATGGTGTTTTTGACCCAGCCCTTTGTCCAGGCTGATAAAAGCATCTTACAGATGATGTCAAGCAGGAGGTGCTGCGGACCTCCTTGCAAGGAGAAGCTTGCTTGGTTCTCCCCCTCTCCCCAACCCCCCGCCGGGCCAGCCTTCTCCACCACCCTCCTTCCCAAAAGGGCACGGGCTGACAGTTTCCTGCATCCAGAGAGAGAAAGTGTGGT